GAGAATTCCCCCTTGAAAAAGAAGAGCCTAAGCTACGTTAGACAAATGTTCGTGTTTACACTTCACGACACCAATATGTTTATATGAGCATAAGAACATAGATGTAGAAAAGAGCCCAATCCTAAAGGCCTGACCTAAATCACCCTATCGGTCCATTTTTCAACCTAAAGCTCAAGTCGGATCTAAAAAAGCCCAGACCTTTTTCTTCACTCACTGAAAACGAGTTTGGAAGGTCTGGTCCAGACTTGAAAAAGCTCCGACCTTGTGCATAAATAGTTCCATGACTAATAAAATTAGACATCTTGGGTTTTACAAATTTAGTCTCATTAAGGTGCCGTTTACCAAATGTTTGCCCGGATAAGCGTTTACCAAGTCACTTTACTTACCAGATGAATATGACAAAGACTAAGAATCTTACCAGATAAGAGCAAAGACAATAATCGAGAGTCTTACCCGGTAAGTGAGGAGGAGGACTCTTACCATGATTAGTTCTTACCGGGATAAATTGTTGCACACGATGCATTTTAGTGAATAAAATCTTACCCGATAAGTAAGCGATAGTGTTGAATTTTACATGTAAATGCTTACCGGTTAAGTGTTTAGGTAAACGGCCCCTAAGTTATCACCCTTAAACAACCTGACAATTTTACCAATTTGATTTTTAAGTACATTCACAAAATATACAACAATATTAAAAACTTCGTTTTTGGATTTTAGAAAGTGAACCCAAACAACCTGACTAAAATCATCAACAACAGTTAAAAGATACTGATATCTTTATCTACTAACAATTCTATAAGACCCCACACATTAGATTGAGTGGTTACAATCGGATTAAATCACTACAACAAAACTGGCTTTATAAAACGTCTACTTTGTCTAAGCGGCCTAATAGATTATTTTATAAAATTTAGGTTTACGGGACCAAACAACAAAGCGTCTTATCTAAAAGTGTTACAATAGGTTTATAGGACACTTTTAGGCGTTTTAAAAAGTTTTTTATAAAGTTTTTTAAAATAAAGTGTCATATTAACTATTTTGTTTGACAATTTTGAGAAATGTCCTATAAACTCATCTTTTTATAAGATACTTGTATTTATAAGACATTTTTCAAATAATATCGTATAAAACAGTTAATACGACACTTTATTTAAAAAATATCCTAAATAACTTGTTAAATCGCTTAAAAGCGTCATAAAAACCTATCATAACACTTTTAGATATGACGTTTTATGGTTCGTTCCTATAAACTTAAATCCTATAAAGTATATTTTTTAAAACATTTTTACATTTTAGACGTCCTATAAAATCAATTTTATTGTAGTGGATGACTTTTTCAATAATTAGATAAAAACTTGTCTTTTCAAATTCAATTTATTTTCTAAATATTTAACACTTGATTTGCAGGATAACCAAGCCTACTATATCTACTATATCCAAATGTTGCTAGTTTTTCAACACCAGCCACCAAACTTTAGTTTCTTACACTTTAGCCACGATATCGAAATACTTCTAACCGATTTAATCCTTACAATAGAAAAATACATAATAAGTATCATACACTTATCATGTCAAGATTGAAGAAAACATATTTAAAGTGTGAATAGATCTAGATGCATACTCTAAAGTTAGTGAGGACGATATTGTAATTCAAGGTATAAAAACGCGCCCCACATATTTGAAAATTTGATTTTGATGTATGTTTTGAACTGTTAATTCAAAATTGTGTTACTGATGATAAACACTTCACTTATTGTTTAGAAATCATACCCTTGTTGATATACTCATGGACATAAAAAACTTTATCTACACACATTCAGACCTGACTCTTCCTTCAACAGTAGGACGCGACTTTGCAAAAACATCATCCTTCTGGTATAAAAAATGATCAATAGTGAGACAACAATAAGTTCATCGCGCCATGTGTACGTCGTGTTGTGATCGAAGATGACATAAGTTTGGACCCATGGTTTTAAGGATATCATGAAATATTCGATGAGATTTGACTAATCAAGAAAAGGACGACGATGATAACGACGACAAAAAACTCTGGGGAGGCAATGATACACCTCTTTAGAATTATATGTTCTCATTGTAACTACATACTGCTTGTTTCTTTTACATGAGTATAATGTTGGTGTGTATATTTTCTAATTAAAATATTATTATATAAATAAAGTATGAAGTTATAGTCAATGACAACATATTTTAATTAACAACTTGTATATTAGGTTAGGGAGTCGTTTACTAAACACTTACCAGATAAATACTTATTGGTAAGAGAAATTATCCTTATATTATCATGTAACGATATCCGTTATCAAGATGGATTGTTGGTAAGCGTCTTAAACCCCCGATAATTAAGCTATTATTGATAAGAGTCTTTAAATGTCTATATCTTAACCCAGTAAGGCTATCATCGGCCATCAAAATATAAAAATGATGAATGTAAACGAACCAAAATTAAACATACATTTATATATTATCAATATACATATTCTTATAATAAGTTTGGATTCAAATGAGAATATCATCATTTTACAAAAATACAAGAACATCTGTGTCATGTGATATTGTAGTCCATGTGATATTGTAGTCCATCACATATGTGATACTAAATCAGAGGCATGAGTGACCTAGGTTACATGCACACCACCAGATCTCTATACATGTATTATTACATGTAATATGGATGTTCTCGTATTTCTGTAAAACGGTGATGTTCTCATTTGAACACTACTAGAAAATTGAGTATCAGCGAGGACCATTTGTGATGGCCTTAATCCCTCGTTAATTAGCGATGAATTGACCACAAAGCTATTCGACGCTAATCTCTCGCTAATTAGCGACGGATTAGCGACAGACACATGAATTCTCTCGCTAATTAGCAAGGGATTAATGACAAAGTTATTTGTTTTTCTTGTTTTCTCATTTGTATGTGTTATGTATACACATATGTATGTGTATGTGTGTTGCTCGCTTACTAACTGCGATTGGATCTATGTATTAATGTATACGTAGTTGTATATATGTGTGTATGTGTTGTATATATGTTTATATGCATGTGTATATGTGGTATGTAAGAATAACGTGTATGTGTTGTTTGGTAACCGCATATGATATATATATATCTGTTGTATGTGTGTGTGTGTATATATATATATACACACATGTATATGTGTGAATGTATAGATGATAACGTGTGTGTTGTTTGGTAACCGCATACAAATAGGTAATAAGTCACCATTGGTGTTATTGGATCTTAATAAGTCATAAAGGGCCTTATTATGCTATAATGGATCTTAGGATGGTTTGTTACTTCATGATAGTTTCATTAAGAGACATTCTCTAAATTGCTAAGCGGTGAATTTTGTTTGGCAAAAAAAGTCTGTCGCTTAATAGTTTTAAAACCCTCTGAGTGATTTTGTATCTTGGGTCTCTCTTAATCATTCAACACCCTACTTTCATTCTGAATAATTACCAAACAATTATATTTCACTTTGCATTGTATTATAAGAGCCTTTTAATCATTATGACCATTTAATCACTCTGCACCAAACCATTCAACAACTGTCAAACAACCTCTTAGTGAGTTTTATTGAGCTATAATGGGTCTTAAGTCCGCTTATCTCTAACTCGTGAACTTAGCCGATACAAAGCTATATGATAGCACACAACTAGAGTTCACTCACCCACGTGCCCAATACTTGATGTATCAAATTCAATGGACATCACAATCATATATAGTGAGTTTTAGTGGGCTTTAATGGATCAATTGAGCTTTAATACATTATATTGGGCTTTATTCAAATTTATTGGGTTTTAATTGATCTTAGTGGACTGTAATCGATCTATTGGGCTTTATTAGGTTTTAAAGGGTTTCATTGGGCTTTGATGGGTCTATTGGGCTTTATTCAATTTTATTGGGTTTTAATGGGTTATATCGTGCTTTAATGGACTTTCGTGTCTTTAATAGATCAATTGGACTTTAATGAGTTTTATTGGGTTTTAATCCGTTCAATTGGGCTTGATTCAATTTTACTTGGTTTTAATGCGTTATATTGGGCTTTAACGGATCTTAGTGGACTCCATGGTGCTATCGCTAATCAGTTGATGATGGCATCACCCACACCCTTTCCGCGCACGGACTATCAATGAAGGATCAACGACGGATTCCAGACTTTAGTGACGGCTTGGTTCATCACTAACAGTGCTTAGTTTTGTAGTGGAATCTCCATTATTTTCAATATAATGAAAGTTTGTTCTAAGAAAACTTTTTTTGGAAATACATAATATAATTATATACGACAAATTTAAATTCACAAATTCTTTACTTTTGATGAAATTTGAACCTATAGATCTTTAGAAATAGGGGTGGGCTTATGAAGGCCCGTGCGGTTTCAGTACACCCGCTCAACCTATTTACACAAGAAGAATTTTTTCTTTTGAGTATGAAAGGTGCATTCGCTAAACTTCGAGGGATGATCCTGAATATTAAAAAACACAAGAAATATCAACCTAAAAACCGCAAAAATCCCTCAAAATCAACCAAAAACCCTAAAAAATCTCCCAAAATCAACCAAAAAACCGAAGTCTATCGAAAATTCGAGATCAACCGGAACTTAAAAATCCCTTGAAATGATGGAATTCCGCTAAAAAATCATCGGACAACTTTACAAACCTTTGATCCACCTTAAAGGTACACCAATCACTAAAAACTTTTTAAGGGTCCGCTGTTGTTGAGGAAACTGAGTCTGCCATTAACCCTAGACCGCTGTAAATGACCGAAACCCTATTTTTTTTTCTATGGTGATGTATACCTAAGTGTGGGCCCAAACTCCACCTCAATCTTGCATGGCTAGTCTGGCTGTCTGTTTGTATACTCAGTTAAGCAAAAAGAGCTTTTCTTTCTTCTACTTAACCACTCAATCAAACCCTACCATTTTCCATTACAACCAAGAAAACACACAGTCACACTTCCATCCATCTCTAGCACTCCAATGGCCATAGCTCTTCTTCTCTCTCTCTTCTTTCTCTCTCTCTTCCACCCTTTACATTCTTCCACAGACTCATTCATCTATGGCGGATGCTCACAGATCAAATACTCACCTGGTTCACCATACGAGTCCAACCTCAACTCACTCCTCACCTCGCTAGTCAACTCAGCCACCTATTCATCCTACAACAAATACAGCATCTCTGGTTCCACCCAACAAGACGTAATCAACGGTATATACCAATGTAGAGGTGACTTAGCCATGCCCGATTGCGCCACCTGTGTCGCGAGGGCGGTGAGTCAACTTGCCCCATTGTGCTCACAATCATGCGGTGGCGCCTTGCAGTTAGAAGGGTGTTTTGTGAAGTATGATAACACTAGTTTTATTGGGGATGAAGATAAGACGGTGGTGATGAAGAAATGTGCGCCGTCTGCTGGGTATGATCCGGCGGTTATGGGGCGGAGGGATGCGGTGTTGGCGAGCTTGGGTTCGGCCGGTGGGCTGTACAGGGTTGGTGGATCGGCGGATGTTGAAGGTGTGGCTCAATGTGTGGGGGATTTGAGCACCGGAAAATGTCAAGATTGTGTGACGGAGGCGATCGGACGGTTGAAAACCGATTGCGGTGGCGCCGTGTTCGGTGATATGTTTCTTGGCAAGTGCTACGCGAGGTATTCCACGAGCGGAGCTCATGCTTATGCTAGATCACATCATGGTAAGTTTTTTCGTTTACAACTTATTACTGTCTACGTATCAAGGAGTTAAAAGTGAGAAGCATAAGAATGAATCTGAACCTTTGATCACTTTTAATCTCAAACCCACTCATGAATCGCTTTTGATATGGAGATTGATTCGGTGCATCTCATCTCATCCTAATGTACATCTAAGGGGTAGATCTCTTTTTACTCTTCTTCTCATCGAAACCTAATCCTAAACATGTTTAAATATAAGATGAACTTTGGACCCACTAATACAATAAAGTACTTTATAAATTTCGGATTTTTTTTCTTTAATAAGGAATTACATTAATTTTTCGCTCTTATTTTATAATAAGAATTTACATTCCGTGAGTTAAAACGAGAAGTATACAATTTTACGATAATGTGAGAACATTTTAAATAGACGACCATCACATATGATATGGTAAGGGGAAGAAAGTCCGTGGCCAAAGTCATCTGCGTCCATGATGTGTGTCTTACCAGCTTATCACATGTGATGATTATCTTTTTCATATGGTTTTACGTTCTCGTAAAATGGTACCATTCACAAATAATTCTAGAGAATTGATTTTATAATGTGAATTCATCGATGAATATACATTATATGAAATGCTTACAATGAATACATCTCTCAATGGTGATCGGGATTTACAAATCGATATCTATATTAGTTACAAAAATAAAAGGAGAAGTAACTGCAACCGTAACCGTAATCGCAACCGCAACCCTCCCTAGCTTGATTGATGACTTTATTTACGTTAAAGGAATATAAACAGGAAATATAACTTATTTTTATTTTAAAAATGTAAATATTTATCAAATATTTTTATTTTCACTTTTAGAAAAGTATAAGATGAGAAAACATAAAGATAAAGAGTAAAATATAAAAACCATACTTAACTGAGAAAAATTCACATGTGAATGGAAATTCGTGTTTTTTTGTTGCTTTTTATAAATCTACACTTTATCCATGTACTAAGTAATCAATTTATTACAACAATATTTCTCTATCCTATTTTTGGATCATAATCTTCCATTTTAAAATGAATATAATTATATCAAAAGATAATGTACTTTAACTTGATTTATATTTTGGATAACGTATTTTTAAAACTTTAATTTTGGCACCTAATATGTAAAGTTTTAAAATTTAAGTACCCGGACAACCGGTTGGAGCCTAATTTTAGATTAAAAAAAATCAATGTCACTAACCTCGTCAGCAAGTAATACTGAGTTGGATACCATATCACTCGCCACATTAGCATGATAATCGGTTAATTCTTCAACCGGTTACCCAAATACTTAAATGTTTAAAACTTTACATCTTAGATACTAAAATGAAAGTTTTGAAAGTATATTATCTAAAATATTAATCAAGTTAAAGTACATTATTTTTTCATATAATTTTTCTATAACACCAAAATGTCAAACTCAAAAGGATAGTCAATTTATTGAACATAAAATATATTAATCGATTGTAAAATGGTCAAATAATATTCGAATCCAATATTTTTACGTTAAAAATGATAAAACGAACCCGTCAGATTTACAAATTTTTTCTATAAATAATTTTATAAATCCATGCTTTTGGTTTATTTTACTCATGATGTGTTCTTTCACCATTAATAATTATTTAATTATGTTTTATATATATATAACGAAGGATTTTCTATTTACAAAGTTATATAGTATGATCCGTTAATTGTATCAGATAGATAGATATATAGTATCGTTCTTTTAATCACATACATAATCAATATTGTTATTCTTTTTGTTTATAGATGACCATGACGAAGCCGAGAAGACGTTTGCAATAATAATCGGATTATTAGCTGGTGTTGCACTCATCATCATTTTCTTAACTTTCATGAGAAAAGCTTTTGGCCGAAACGGTAATATGCTTTCTTATTATTTATCAGTTTTAACAGAAAAAATAAGTTTATGATTTTGAAAGATCGACGTATACTTTTTTGTGGTCCAAACAACAACGCTTCTTTTCTTAAAAATTTCATGAAAAAATCTACTTTTTATCTTAAAAAAATAGTAATATTTTTAATGGTAATTTATCTAATTATAAAAATAGCTAATATGACATTTTACTTAAAAAGTATCATAAAAACTTGTTGAAACGTTGAAAACCATCTTATAAACTTATTGTAACACTTTATAGTTTGGTACTTAAGTCTTATAAAGTATCATATTAGAACGATTAGACATTTTAGACGTCTTATAAACACAAGTTTATTATACAACTATAAATTTGATTCGGATTTAAAAAAACCGCTTTCCCCTCAATTGCATCTTGGTGTATATACTTTTTTTCAAAGCAAGCTTTTTTATATACTTTTACCTTTTTTTTCTCTCTTTTACCTTTTTTACTTTATTATTTAATATTAAAAATAATTAATATTATGTTTATTTGTTTTTTTGTAGGTAAATAAATGAAAGCTTTATCAAAAGTTGAAAGGGTTGCATGCATGGCCTCCCACCCTCACCATCTTTTATGTTTCAATTGCTTTTGCCTTTTCCTTTATCATCTCAACTTACATTTTTATTTTTATTTTTATAGTAATTATTATATTTTAATTTAATTTAATGCATATGTAATGAATCATTTCAGTTGGATTTGTTTTATTATGATTACTGTATTTGTATTTATTGATCACAACATCTAGACAATAAGTTACTGATTAGTAGTTGCTGAAAGGTTTGGTATAAAATGAAATAAAATTGTTTGGTAATTGTTTACAATAAAATTATGGTGAGTTAAGGGGAACCCATGATATAAACTCATTCAGATGATTTCAAAACCATTAAGAGGCAAAAAAAAAATTGTCAAACAAGATTAACCTTTTAACAGTTCAGAAGCTGCCTCTTAATGAAACTATTAAGAGGTAAACAAATAACTCATAAGTTTAAATCTTATATTGTGTATTGGTAATGACGGATTCTCTATGCTATTAGGATAGAGATGATGTTTATGTACATCTTAACCTATTCCGTTTAAATTGTGAGTGAGATATAATAGGTATGTTCGGTTTTTTTTGGTTTATGTTATAAAAGTTTCATCGTATTAGAAACATATCAGATTTTCCAAAATAAAGAATCACAAATCAAAAACCTCCGAAAGAAATTGATGTTTATCTCCAACAGTGTCTCCAGTTTGGAAATTATAATATGAATTATACAATTTATAAAATATTATTTTTCTCTCCTAACCAGTTAATTTCAAAAATTCTCATTAGTAGGAAGAATAGAAAATCATTTTTCTTTTTAAGTAATCATTTTTTAAGAGTTCTCCAAATTTGGAGAATTTCACCCTCTCCCTTACTTTCTCCATTTTAGAGAATCTGTTGGAGCAAAAATCTTCAAAATCTGTTGGTGGTTCAAGAGAAAACCCAAAAAAAAAAAACTGAGGAATACTCCGATAATCATTCATCTAGATGGTATGCACATGTGTATACAAGTAATTGAAGTTGTTTTCTTGGTTTTTATACAACTGTGCATGTTATGCACATGTGCATGCCGGACAAATTGCTTATGAATTACTTATGTGCACATGCACATACCATCCAGATGAATGGTTACCACAGTGTTTATCAGTTTTTCATTTTTTTTACGATTTTTCCCTGAACTTAACCTATATGTGTACATGTTCATAAAATCTGTCTATTTAAATTACGGTGCATCAAGTATGATTGATTAATGTATATTACTTCAAAACTCAAGAGAAGATGTTAATGGTGCATTTATATTACGCCTTTTATGCATTGCGTAGAATTCATATACTAACTGTCAGGTCTTTAAATTAACAAGTTCACATATCATTTGTAGTTTATATTGTATTCAAACATAAATTTTATATTTTTAATAGGCAATTTTATCAACTTTTTGTTGTTCGTTACAATAAAATCTTGAATTTCGTTGCATCACACAGATATACACGTAGTATATAATCAGGATCGTATAGGATTTTTCAAAATGAAGAACCATAGGACTCCTCCATATCCTTTGGATGAGATGGCATACTAGATGTGACTGTCTGAATGAACGCGGTGGTACAAAAGGTGAACATAGAGGTTAACGTATCTTATCCTCCATCAGACAACTTAATATAACTTAAACTTGCCCTGTTATAACATGAAAATATTCAATTTTAATATACATTAACACATTATAAGAACTCCGAACATTCATGAATATAACAAACGTTGAGATCTGCCCCTCCTTCCTTTCGACAGCATGTGTACATGTTGGAGCACATATCACTCAGATCAACAACCACAAGATGTGCCAAACAGTTTTATGAAATTTGGAGTTCCTATCAAAACCCAACCCTAGATAAACGTACATATATACATACTTATATATAGTGTGTGTTTGTGTGTGAGAGAGAGAGGGGATAAGTTTAATTGCAGACCTGTTTTCTTTTTGGACTGGGGGGCAAAGAAAACCGTAACACCATCCCCAATTATTCTCATTAATCATGAATTATGAACCTGAACTTTTTACAATATTAATGATGAATGTTACATCATTTATGATAAATATCCCGTGAATTTATGGGATACGTGGCGCGCTCTTTTTTATCCCCCGGTTCACTGGACTTAAGTTTGCAGTTGAACCAAGCTTTTATCAAATGTGACAATTTACGTGAGGGACTTGATGGTGTGTAGACGAGTTGGCCCGCGACCTAAGTTGCGTTAAAGGTCATCCACGTCTTTGAACTTGTATCACATGTGATGGATTATAAATCATATCAAGAACACCTTTATCACATTTAATTATATACATTAAGGGGATTAATGGTGTTACACATGAGACTTGGCCGGCACCACCTAGCACCCGTTAAAGATCGTCTGCATCTTTAATTTAGTATCACATTTGAATCATATGTAACGAACTATAATATAACATATGATTAATTATAATAAAAAGATATATATCCTCTCGCATCTTTTTATAAAATGAAAATGTTATCATTCGTATTATGAATTTTAGATCCAAAAGGTTGAAAGAAAAGAGGAAGCAAAGATTCCATGAGTTTTCATGCTCCCCACTTGAAGAGGAAAGTGGTGTTGTCCACTGGATAGAAGATATATATATATATATATATATATATATATATATATATATATATATATATATGGTACGTTTATTGTTCTTTTTGTTTAGTATTGATTTTCTTTTTCGTCCCTCAATTTTCATAAAAAAGAAATCATATAATAATTTTTATTAAAATAAATTTTCATAAATGCAAATAAAGGATGACATAATAGATAACAAAAAATTTAAATCAATAGTTGATTCTTAAAATTGGGTTTTTTTATTACTAATTTAGTATCGGATCGACTTTGGCTTGATCCAAATTGTCAAAAATTATTGTATAGAATCTCGGAAACACATCAAAATATAGAATTTGACAAAGTTATAGGTCATAATTTGTGTATCATGATTCCGCAATATATTACATGTTTGATGTTATCAAATGTACATCCACTTGATGTCGACTCGAAAATGACTATCGAAATTATTGTTTTTGTACGGTTGAAAAGATGCATAAAAAAGATGGTGGTGAAGTCATAGTCCAACATATTTCCGTGATTCTAGTATCAACGATTTATCTCCGAGTATATATATGTTTTAGCATTCTAGAGAGAGAGACGACGAAATCGATAATTAGAGAGAGAGAGGGTTGGTGAGATTTGATTGATGAAATAAAAAGAAGTTAAGAATAATTCACGCTAGAATCAATTGTAGATTAAAGAAAATCAAACAAAAACGTAGAAGGCTTACTTTGTAAGTATTTTGTTGTACTTTACTGAGAAGTTTGGCATTGGTTTTGTCTCAAGTGTTGGCGGGGATGGAAATGTCGTAGCCTGTCAATATTTTAGTATTATATCTGCCAACTTATATGGAAGTACTAAAAGGCCTTTAACATAGCGGTAAAAAAGTTACTAGTAGAGCCAATTCTTCAAGCAGGTTAACTGTTCAACCCTCAACAAAGGCGGGGAGGGTGAGTGAGTTCATTTCTTGTATATATAAATTTTATACTTCAAAAATAAAGTACTGCCATACTAGTTCTTGAGAATTGATTGAGGTCATGTATCAAGGTGGAGTGTTGAAAATGTGTCATACAACCTTCTGTCGGTGTATATGACTTGCAAACGACTTGATGCACTTAAACTAAGACTCTAAATGGCATGAGAACACGGAATGGCGGTGAGGTCAAGCCTCAAGACTTAAGAGCCACGACAAAGCCACATTATTTTTCAAGGCGTGATTTATGACGACAAATTTGTATTTTACATGGGTCGGAAAATGTGATTGAGCTATTGTGGACCCAAACATTAGTGAGATAAATGCCATACTTTTGTGTAACTCTTATGGGATCTTATTCTCCTATGTGAGGGATTTATAACGAGCTAAAGTTTGTTCAAAACAAAGCTCATATGAATGAGAAATTGAATCTCAAAGTAGACTCATACGTGGGTATTGTTGTGGAAAAGAGGTTGTCCCACATTGGTGAGAACTTGAAAATGGAATTAGTTTATATATGATTTCGCAAATAAAAATGTTAAAGATATATTGAAGGAACGTATCCCTCATATGCATGTTGGGGGTGCAAATTCTAGACCAGTTTAGGCATTGGAATACTGAATTTGTGTGCACAGGCACTGTAACGCCCCCAGAACCCCGTAGCAATGATATTGTCCGCTTTGACTAACCTGCCCGCTCAACCACAAAGCAGTAGTCGCACGGTTTTGTTTCTGGCAGCCGCACAACGCAAGCCCCAAAACCGGTCATCGCATATCAGAGTCCGCAGCACGGAAGCGAATGATATTGTCCGCTTTGGCACGCTATACCACAATGCCTCACGGTTTTGTTTTCCCCGCTATACCACAAGGGAAACCGGTCATGCTAGGATGAGGTATCCACACCCTTATAAGGAGTGCTTAGTTCTCCTCACCAACCGATGTGGGACGGGTTGTTACACCCTCCCCCCGTTAGGACACAACGTCCTCGTTGGGCCACATCGATCCGGGTCTGGCTCTGATACCACTTGTAACGCCCCCAGAACCCCGTAGCAATGATATTGTCCGCTTTGACTAACCTGCCCGCTCAACCACAAAGCAGTAGTCGCACGGTTTTGTTTCTGGCAGCCGCACAACGCAAGCCCCAAAACCGGTCATCGCATATCAGAGTCCGCAGCACGGAAGCGAATGATATTGTCCGCTTTGGCACGCTATACCACAATGCCTCACGGTTTTGTTTTCCCCGCTATACCACAAGGGAAACCGGTCATGCTAGGATGAGGTATCCACACCCTTATAAGGAGTGCTTAGTTCTCCTCACCAACCGATGTGGGACGGGTTGTTACAGGCACGGAGGTCGACTGAAAAGTTTAGATGGGTTTTGGAAAAAATTCCATATTTTTTAATTTTCTTTTGCAAAATCTCTTGATTTTCCACTTTCTTGAATTTATTATACTTTGTGTAACTCCCACATAGCAACTACTATATAAACAAGTGTGTGATGTTGA